TACAACATAGCATATTTATATAATATACATAATATATATGGATACACAGCCCCCCCCCCCCCCCCTTTATACTATATATATATATACACATATACAATATACAGTATACATATTATAACAGTATACAGATATATATACACATTATATATACACATATATATATAACAGTATACATATATATACATATAAAATACATATACATATATATATACATATACATATATACATATTACAATACTAACATCATAGTATATAACATATTAATATATATAACATATACATATATATATAATATCACATATATATATACATATACAATAAGTACTCATATACATATAAATATACATATTACATAACAATACATATATACTATATACATATACATATACATAAATATACATATATAATACATATATACTATATACATCATAGTATATATACAATACATATTTATTATATCATATATATATATACATACAGTAGTATATATATATACATATATATAATATAATACATATATATATATATATACATATATAGTATATACACGAGTATATTATACATATACATATACATATAGGTTATAGTATATATATATACATATAAATATACATATATAGCTATATATATATATATATTATATATATATACACATATGTATACATACTAATATATTATATATACACTATATATACTATATATATATACATATATATATTAGTATATATATATATATATATACACATATATATATATATATACCATATAATATATATACAATACATATATATACACATATTACAGTACTGTATATATATATAATTTAATGAAAACAAGCTAAACAAATCACACTTATAATTAGTTTAAATGACCCAATGTTTAAATAGTTAAATTAATATTAGTTGTTGTTGTATTGTGCTTATAATAACATTGTAATACACCTGTAATAAGACACAGGGATGGGGGAGGTCATTACCTTGATCAAAAAGAAATATATTTCCTATTTAATTTCACGCAGCACTTAGTTCCTGTTGCCAGTAGGGGGCGGTATCACTATATATGAATATTGTCATGTAGACGTGTTCAGGGCGGGACTCCAATCAAACGTGAAGTTTCACTGATATTGGACCATGTACAATGAAGTTATGAGGGCATGTTCAGGATGGGACTGTTACAGAATATGTTAAGTTTAGTGGAGATTTGACATTGTACACTTAAGTTATAGCAAATTCGTGTGTTCTGGTGGTACAAAATGCCACAGACACGCCCTTTAACAAAAACTAACCAGAAACATGAAATATCATCAACCATATGTTTTGCATTTTCTGACAAAATTTCAGGTGGATCTAATTAACCTGCTAGGAGTAGAACATGAAAGTATAAAAAATTACATTTACTTTCACCACTAGGTGCGCTATCACTATTACTGAATATTATCACAAACGTGTTCAGGGCGGGACTTTGATCAAACATGTGCATTATGGTGCAGATCAGACCAAAGACACTGAAGTTATGACAAATTCCTGTTTCATGGTGAAACCTGGCACCATGCCACGGACACGCACTCTGACGAAAAGTCGCAAATAGCACAACTTTTGTGTCTAAATGTCTTTAGATGGCTGTGTCCAAATGTGAGGTCGAGCTGATCAATTCCCTAAGAGGGGTTTGTTCAAATATAATGTGTTCAAATCGCCAGAAATTACCGCTAAATACGAAATAGCAGACGACCTGTTGGCTTTGGGATATGGCTCCCAGTGGATTTTTTGTCCGTCAGGATAAGATCTACGCGTGTCCGGATTCTTATGCATATCAGTGAAAGGGGGGATTCTATATTACTGCCCTTAAATAAACTAATTGTTGCCATATGGCAAAACCATGCAATAGAGGGATTAAATGCCCTCAGACCTCCAAAAAACAGAAGGCATCTCTCTGAGGAGTGATTCTGGAAAATGTTCCAGTTCCTGGCAGCGGTCATTGGGATGCTGCTCCACTGCCTGCTCCCCACTCAGCCCACTCTTTGCTATGTCGCAGCAGTGCTGTGTCACAAGAGAATCCCCTGAAACTTTTGTCCCGTTTGACACCGTGAATATCTAGTACTAATCACCTGCACCCTCCCTCGTCCTGCTTACTGGGTCTGTGACTGTACACAAAAAAATAAATAAATAAAAAAACACAGGTATACATTTATTTTCCCAAGTTAAGCCACAGTTATATTCTCCATATAAATAGCGGAACTGATGATATGTCACACAAGAGGGCAGTCCTGAGCTGAAGAATTCACATGAGGTGAAAATTCAGTGAATTGCTTCTGCTGCACCCGGATGGAGAAAGATGGCAACTTACGGTGAATTAGTTACAAGCCAGAAAACGTGCTTGATTGCGAAACAAAAGAAGAGGAAAAAAGAAAACTAAAACTGCAGGGTGTGCATCAATGTAAAGGAGACTCAGATTTAAGCCTTTTTTAAGTTAAAGACAGACATTTAAGAAAAACCTGAATAACCAGATAGTGACCCTGATAACTGGCAACTTTCAGCCGAACAAAGTTGCCAGTTAGTTAACTGTTAGTTCAGCTGAAAGTTGATATTTACCAGGGTCACTCCTTAAACTGAAACACTGGCAAGCCGCAGGTCGCAAATGCCATAGCTGTGGCAAATTGGGATAGTCAGCAGTCTTTTGTTTCAAGTCAGGAGTTTTTTCAGAGTGACTGGTGCAGAGATGTAACTTTCTGCTCTGTAGTATTGTAATGTTGGGTTGTGAAGTAGCACTTGCATTTCAGACAGTACTTCTGCTGTGTCGAGTCTCCTCAGCCTTGCAAGTCACTTTCTCGACGTCAAAAACAAATACTGAATATGACGTGTTGAAGTGACGTAACATATGGTTGTGGCAGTGGCTTGCCATCCAGTGTGGCTGGCTTCTCAATAGTGTAACGACTCAATCACAGTGGATGGCAGTAGAGGAGGTTGTACCATTGTCAAAAATGATCCAAAAATGGTTTAGCTGACTTGACTGACAGTCAGCACCACAGCAGAGATTGTCGGAGCAGCCACTTCCCCCCTAACTGGCAATAAACTGCTACATTAACTATCACTTTTCTACTCCA